CACTTCTACTTCCTCGTCGTCTTGTCTGATGCAGTCAACCAAGCGTTCTTCTAACCATGACCTCACCCCTCCTCACCCCCCAACCATTCGAATTTCCGTAGGCGGGAATTGTTTTAATGATATTTTAATGGGCCGCTTTGTGATATCACAAAACCCGGAAAACAAATTCTGTAGTCCAAACGAGCCGTTCGTTGTAGTTCTTGAAAAGGGATTTTTTAAAAACGAAATATCTCCCTTTGGAGTGGACTTTGAGATTTGTAAGTTTGAAGATCTTTTTTATGCCCAAACACACACACTACACAATGGCTAAAATTCAAAAAGTGAAAAAGCATAATAGGACCCCTTTAAAAAAAATTCACAAAATTCTAACCTTTCATTGAAGTACAGCAATTGAAAGTGGGGGGAAACTCACATTATGAAATAAATGTTTTTCTCCAATGCATGTTGGCCACAATTACTGGCACCCCTAGAAATTCTTATGAGTAAAATATCTCTGAAGTATATATTTACATTTTTTATAGCACACCAGGGTGACTAGGAGCGTGAAATTGTCCAGCCATGACTTCCTGTTCCACGGGATTATAAATATGAGAAACACAAAGGCCAAATTCCCTTAATCATCCATCACAAAGAGTAAACCCAAAGAATATAGTTCTGGTGTGCAGAACAAGATTGTTGAGCTTCACAAAAAAGAAAGTGCCACTAAGAAAATAGCTAAAGCATTGAAAATACCCTTTTCCACCATCAGGGCAATAATTAAAAGTTCCAATCAACTAAAAATGTTACAAATCTTCCTGGAAGAGGACGTGTGTCTATATCGTCCTAATGCACAGTGTGGAGGAGAGTTTGAGTGGCCAAAGACTTTCAAAGGATCACAGCTGGAGAATTGCAGAGATTAGTTGTATTTGTGTACAGGTTTATATATCCTGGTGGGGACTTAAACCTAACTACACACAGACTCATGTGGACTCGTGTCACGGTGGGGACCTAGATTGTGGTCCCCACGGGTACAAAAGCTTATAAATCATACAGAATGAAGTTTTTTGAAAATCTAAAAATGCAGAAAGTTTCCTGTGAGGGGTAGGTTTAGGTGTAGGGTTGGTGTAGGACAACAGAATATACGGTTTTCATAATTGTAACATACATATTTACATACATAATTATTCAGGTGCATGTGTAATAACTTGCGAAAACTTGAGGCTACAGCAGCATTTCTTCCTCGTCGTCTTGTCTGATGCACTCAACCAAGCGTTCTTCTAACCATGACCTCACCCCTCCTCACCCCCCAACCATTCGAATTTCCGTAGGCGGGAATTGTTTTAATGATATTTTAATGGGCCGCTTTGTGATATCACAAAACCCGGAAAACAAATTCTGTAGTCCAAACGAGCCGTTCGTTGTAGTTCTTGAAAAGGTATTTTTTAAAAACGAAATATCTCCTTCCTGTGAGGGGTAGGTTTAGGTGTAGGGTTGGTGTAGGACAATAGAATATACGGTCTGTACAGTAGAAAAAGCATTACGCCTATGGAGAGTCCCCACAAGGATAGCTGACCAGACATGTGTGTGTGTGTGTGTGTATCAAACAGCCCCAACATCACCACATGTTGCTTGGGAGGGTTTCAGGAAAAATCCTCCCCGCTCATCCAAAAACAAACTCCAGCATAATCAGTTGTCAGATACGACTGGAACTTCAAATGGGACTGGCTTCTATGGTCAGATGAAACTAAAAAAGAGCTTTTTGGCAGCAAACCCACCAGATGGGTTTGGTGCAAACAAGGGTAAAAAGTACGATCTAGGTGCCCCCGGACCACGATTTCACGATTGTGCCCTCATAACGCCACTACCCCCTTGCCCCTCCAGAGGTCTGTGCATGCCATGGGTGACAATAATTGTGGCCAATGTGAACTAGAGAAAAACATCTATTTCATAATGAACTTTCCCACTTTCCTTTGTTTTACTTCAATGATAGGTTAGAAATTTGTGAATTTTTTTAATCAAAGATCAAAAGGATGAACAATGCAGATTTATTTTCACAGCCACCTTTGCTCATATTTACCAGGGGTGCCAATATTAGTGGAGGGCACTTTGTGTGTGTGTGTGTGTGTATTATATATATATATATATATATATATATTACAAAAGTGCAAAGAGTCATATCCTTACTAATATTTATAAATCATCAAGCACAAGTAGCTTTTTTTTCTTTAAAAAATAAAAACAAACCCTGGGCTGTCTGAATGTTGGAGTGTCTTCAAACATAGAACATGCTGATATAGTGTTAAAAGTTAAAATAAAACTTTAATCAAGGCAATACAAGGGAAAGCCTTTTTTCCCCCTTTTCTCTTAAAAGCAAAAATAAACGTAGCAACAAGTATTTAAAATATACTTCATTTAAAATAAATATACATTTTAAAAAAATGAGTAAGAAAATGTGCAAAGATGACAAAGGTACAGCACGTGATATTTATAGGCATTGTAAGATCAGCCTAATCAGAATTCACTACTACCACTAGAGGGCATTGTTCTTGTCTAAAATTAGGGGGTGACATGATAGTTTCCATGACAACACATTTATAGGCTAGAGCCCACAGCTTGTAAATAAAATTCAAGATATTTTTAGCTCTCCTACTTTGAAGATGCAGTCTCCAGCAGGCGCCGGTTCAACAGCACTGGTCAATTTCCATCATCAACACGTGCGATACATGTGTATAATGAGCATAATCCCTCTAATGAGGATAATCCTGGAAAAAATAAAAAGAAGAAAATAATGACCATGAAATACGATCTCAATAGAATAGAGTTGAAGACTAGTTGAAAGATAGCCTGATCAGGTTTAGCTCAAATTGAGCTCAGATTAGTATACGGTATCCTATAGAAATCCTAGTATATTAGTGAATCCCAATGATAATAAAAATAAGGTTCATAGTTCATAATTAGGATTTGTTAAAAATAAGCCTCAAAGCAACAATATAGCCTATGCATTATTTACAGTGAACATAAGAGTTTGAATTGGCTATTTTTGTGACAAAACTAATACTGAGAAATATGTTGGTTATTAGACAATGAAAAAACAAGTAAATCACGACTTTTAGATTTTAGATTTAATACCTTGAACGTGCTTACGTTTGCTTTTTATGCACATACCAGATGTAGGAATCACAAGATCACGTTAATAGTTTAATAATTTCTAAACAAAATTTAACCAGGTTATTCCATGCAACCAGTTGGCCTAACTCTGTGCTCTTAAGGATACAGTTTAACACTGGAAAGTCACAGCTGAACTGGTTTCTAGATGATCTAAGCTGGTCATTAGCTGGTACACGATGGCAGACCAGCAGTAAACCAGCTACCAACTGGTAGCTGGTTTACTGCTGGTCTTACTGGTTTACTGTGGTCTGATTTTCAGAACATGGTGGCCAGTCAACAAGTTAATGACCAGCTTGAAACCACACTCTAAAACACAGCTACAAGATTAAAGTGACGTGACGTGACATGTGGCCAAGTATGGTGACCCATACTAGGAATTAGTGCTCTGCATTTAACCCATCCTAAGTGCACACACACAGCAGTGAACACACACACACCGTGAACACACACCCGGAGCAGTGGGCAGCCCTTTATGCTACGGCGCCCGGGGAGCAGTTGGGGGTTCGGTGCCTTGCGCAAGGGCACCTCAGTCGTGGTATTGAAGGTGGGAGAGAGCGCTGTACATTCACTCCCCCCACCTACAATCCCTGCTGGTGCGAGACTCGAACCCACAACCTTTGGGTTAGAGTCCGACTCTCTAACCATTAGGCCACAACTTCCACTAACCGGATTTTCTAACAGAATATTAACTTTCAAGAGGGTTTCTTAACCAGCAATTCAACAATGATAAGCTCAAACAAAAAGGGTATCGGCACTGACATGGAAAAGCGAGACATTTATTTAAAACGATCAAAGTTCAGAGGTGAAAGTCTGACCAGCCACCAGCCCCGCTCTTGTCTTCCATGCAGACCACGCCCATTTTCTTCCGCGTTACCATGACAATCCGGGCAGACGTCACAGTGAAAAAAAAACACTATATATAAGCTTTGAATGTTCAGACTGTAACGCGGCTTGGATGCGTGTCCGGGTGGAACGACACGGCTAGCGGTGACCAAGGGGGAAAACAAGCCCCCCAAAAAGAAAGGAAACGGGATTGGGGACTTTTAATTTGTTGTTTTTAAAGCTTGGATTTTTTTGTTTTTGAAAAGCCAGGTGGTCGTTTTAATCAAAAGAAGCAAAATGGGACGAGGAGTAAGTGTTAATGTTATCGTTTAATTCTTGGAATTTGCAATATTGTTTCTATGTTTAAACAGATGGTTTTAAAGTAACTGAAAATAATGGTTTGGTAAATAGTTGTTTCCAAATGGCTTCCCGGAGTATGAGATTTCCGCAGTTTTAATATTCAAATTAGTTCGTTTAAATGAATTAAATACGCGCAAGGGTTAACCTAAACCATATGAAGTCTGTATTCTCCGACGGAGCAACAGGTTTTAAGACTGTGGCTTTAAAAGAGAGGCAAACTCTATTTTAAAACGTTTTTCGTTCACTGCAAAGATTTCAGGAATGTAGCAGACACGCAAACGTTCTCCTCTATAGCCGCGATGTTGCACGGCCTGTTTTTCGTAGCGGATGTAGTCAGTCTCGGGACTTTTACATTGTAAAACTGAAGTAATCATGTATGCTACAAAATAATCGCTCTGAATGCGCCCTAATGTAGGTTATTGCAGCTCTTAGAAAAATCGTCAAGTTCTTTAACTTGTACGACAAAACATTTCTAGGTTGGCCCGACAACGTGTTTCTGAGTGTGACAAAACCTCGAGATACATCGTGGAACTATTTAACCGCGTAACGTTAAACCTCGAAATGAATGACGCGCTTACTTTACATTTTTGGGGTAAAACCTCCAGATACACAAGATAAACTCATCTCATCTTGACATATACTACATCTGCTACAGTCTCTAAATATCCGCTTTAAAACATTGAACGAGACGCATATTTTGAAATTGCCCGCAATTTTGTTTTAAATAAACACTGTAAATGTAGGCTGAGTTAAATCATCTCAAATCCACAAACCGTTCGCTTCTTGATACGAAAGTCTGGAGATGTAGGCTATCGTTTGACTATAATAGCTATTACATTTAAACTCTAAACGCTTTAACTCGTCAGTTTAAACACTGAGATACAGAAGATAAACAGTTGCTACCACACGCTATATCGATTAAAAAAACTTTAAAGAAACAAATACGCGTGCTTTAACCATGTAATGTAAAATCATTTAGTTAACGCTTTGACATATGGTTTTAATGGCGTTATCATGCAGTCGGTTCATGTTATGTTTGTTATGCACATTATAATGCATGAGATCAATGCATATGATCTCATGAATATGTGTAAACCACATAAACGCGAAGTAAACCATGTTAAATTTTAGGGTGTAGTCTGACATGATAAAGTTGTCTCGGGTTTGAGGACTAGTTATCATCACGTCTGTTTGTCGTCGTTATCTACTTAGCCTATATTAAGTGGAGCAGGCTTAGTTCGTTCAATAAAGGCTTCACTTAAACGCGGGCACTGACGGAGACAGTGTTTACCTGCTATGAAATCACGTCTTTGCGTCCCGCAATTCAGAATTATGGACATTAATCTTAATTAAATTACATTCTGGAAGGAACTGTAAGACACCCCATTGGCTGCATGATATGCTTAGATTTTAATTACGCTTTCTTTCATTTCTCCTTTCACATTCAGTCATAATCGTATGATTTGCTTCGTGTAGGGTTCATTAACTCCTAATATGATTCCAGCATGCAGTGGCATTGCGTAAGAGCTGAATGCCACTCCCTAATGTGAGGCTCTGAGCACCAGTGTAAATGTGTATTATGCATTCAGTCCCAGGGTATTCCATGTGATGGAGAACAAACAGCCATCTGCATGTTTCATGTAGCCTAGGTTTGGTGCATTGAGCTATGCCCCCAGCCCCATCAAACCCCACCACAGTGGGGCAGATGTCTGGCCTCTGCAGACACAGGGTTGCTGTTGTGTTTGCATGCAAGAGGCTGATATGAAATAACAGCATTTGCAATGTAGAATTTTTCTGGGGCATATTTAAATAAGAATCTAAATGAAATGTTTGCTAGTTTAATACTGATTTTTTTACCTTTTGAAGTACTATGGAATTACCATGATGGCATATATGGTACTTAGAATATTCATATAGGCCTACATTGTATACAGATAATAGTTTACCATGGTAATACCCATTGATAGCCACCACAGACTTTGAAGGGGATGCAAATCTGATTATATTTAATGTTTGCAAATCCATTAAACCTTTTTTTTTTTTTAAGCGCAAGCTATTTTTTTCATACAAATGTTAGTATATTGTGTTTTAGGACCGGCATCAGGTGTTGACCACAGCTGTATTCTCGATCCCCCGAGTGTGTATATAAGCTAATACTGTCGCTCCATCTCTGAAGAGTTTAACATTCTTTCCATTCACCACTCACTATGTGTTAGTGAGACCTTTTGTCATTGACAATCCCATCTGACAGTGGCTGACAGTGACCACTCCTCCTCACTGACCCCGAAGGCTGTCTCAGGGCCACCTTACCTTTTTTGGTGCAGTGAACTGTGTGAGATAGTAACATGCATTTACCTCCATGCAATTGCTGCTTTCCCACCACCAATGGGGAAAGACAGAGCTTTCCAAAATGCATGGATGTTTATTTTGACGTTTTAGAAATGCAGTATGGTCCAAATGTTTCAGACCATGTTGTACATTTGTCGCTTTTAGGATTTTGAAAATAATCTCTTAAGGTGATTAGTTAAATGTAAGTAAATGAGTGTTGTTGATCATGTGACTTTCAGATGGTCAGATTTTCTTCCACTGAAGCTCAAGATGCTCTTTGGAACATCTGAAATCATGCTGGAGAACATAATCATCAGGTTTTGTTCATGAATGTGCAATACCAAGACATTCACCATTTTTTCATTGCTCTCCTTTTTCTCCTTCATTGCTATGCTGATAATATAATCTTTAATGTCCGATTGTGTATTAAAACGCTAACTAGAAGCAATTTCACTTTTGGACCCCACTGTAAGCTTTTGTTCTTTTTCTCTCTGTGCTCTTAAACTGCAGTGAGCTTATAAAAAGCTGTAATTCAGCACTAATTGCCCTGTGACTGGTGTGGAGGAGTTTGCACACCATGTTTTCTTTTCACCCTCTGCTGTTCATTCGCCACTTCTAAAACAAAAAGAGTTGGGTCTGACATGTGACTTAACCCATTCACGGCAGAGGTGTGGCTCTGTTTCCAATGTCAACAGGGCAAAGTCCCAGTATGAGAGGACTAATATGCTCGAGCGAACCGTTTTTGGCTCATGTGCAAGATAAAGACTGGAAAGAACAGTATTTTTAAAAATTTGATATAATCCAGAATATTCTCTCACAAATGTGAATATGTGTAGGTTTTGCTATGGTTGATTTATCTTCCACCCTCTGACTCACTTTCTTTCAACTTTGTGACATTTTCCACACACATGTGCAAGATGTGAAAAGTGCTTATATGCATATTAAATGTGATGACTAAGTGTTTAAGTAAACTAGCATATGCAGACGTGAAAGAGTGCTAAAGTAAACCGTCATGTTCAGTTGGGCACTACAGGTGTCGAGTTATTTGTTTCTGGTCACTTTCATCATCTGTTGCTTTCATGTACAGAAAACAACCAATCCAGTGTACTTGCAGATTTATATCAGGACATGGATAGACCTGCAAAAAAAAAAATTTGATGCAGCATTAAATATCTTGTTTCTTTGTAAGATGAGCTGAAGTCATCAAAGCTGTTGAAAAAAATCTTTTAAAGGGGTCATATGATGTGATTTCAATTTTTCCTTTCTCTTTGGAGTGTTACAAGCTCTTGGTGCGTAAAGAAGATCTGTAAAGTTGTAAAGACTAAAGTCTCAAATCCAAAGAGATATCAGTGTTTCCCCTGCCATTATTTTAGGGGGGCGGCCCGCCCCCCCAACGGCACCCCCCGCCCCCCTTGAAGGTCAAGTTAATTTTATTTAATTGT